GTCAATGATGAGAGAGAATCATGGACCGGCTGCCTCCTGCACGCCCCCCACTGGGGATCGAGCCCGAAACCCGGGGGTGTGCCCTGAACGGGAATCGATCCCTGACCTCCTGGTTCCTAGGTCGACGCTCAGCCCCTGAGCCCCGCCAATTGGGCACAGGGTTCTTTTGAAGGCAGATCCTGGGAGCTCCCACGGGCAGCTGGTCGACCTCCCAGTGGCCTCTGGCATTTACGTGGGGGTAACTGATCCGATTTGTTTTAATGTTTTTCGTATTGAGTGTCTCACTGTCAGCAAGTTCATTGTTTGAATGAGATTCCTCAACTAAAGCACCCGCCCCCCCCCCATCTATCCCTCCCTCCCTCCATCCATCCATCCACCCACCCATTCATTCTCCTTCCATCCGTCCATCCATCACTTCATCCATCCCTTCATCCATCTCTCCACCCATCTCTCCCTCCCTCCCTCCCTTCATCTATCCATTCATCCATCCTTTATCCATCCACCCCTCCATCCATCTATCCCTCCCTCCCTCCATCCATCCATCCACCCACCCATTCATTCTCCTTCCATCCGTCCATCCATCACTTCATCCATCCCTTCATCCATCTCTCCACCCATCTCTCCCTCCCTCCCTCCCTTCATCTATCCATTCATCCATCCTTTATCCATCCACCCCTCCATCCATCTATCCCTCCCTCCCTCCATCCATCCATCCACCCACCCATTCATTCTCCTTCCATCCGTCCATCCATCACTTCATCCATCCCTTCATCCATCTCTCCACCCATCTCTCCCTCCCTCCCTCCCTTCATCTATCCATTCATCCATCCTTTATCCATCCACCCCTCCATCCATCTATCCCTCCCTCCCTCCATCCATCCATCCACCCACCCATTCATTCTCCTTCCATCCGTCCATCCATCACTTCATCCATCCCTTCATCCATCTCTCCACCCATCTCTCCCTCCCTCCCTCCCTTCATCTATCCATTCATCCATCCTTTATCCATCCACCCCTCCATCCATCTATCCCTCCCTCCCTCCATCCATCCATCCACCCACCCATTCATTCTCCTTCCATCCGTCCATCCATCACTTCATCCATCCCTTCATCCATCTCTCCACCCATCTCTCCCTCCCTCCCTCCCTTCATCTATCCATTCATCCATCCTTTATCCATCCACCCCTCCATCCATCTATCCCTCCCTCCCTCCATCCATCCATCCACCCACCCATTCATTCTCCTTCCATCCGTCCATCCATCACTTCATCCATCCCTTCATCCATCTCTCCACCCATCTCTCCCTCCCTCCCTCCCTTCATCTATCCATTCATCCATCCTTTATCCATCCACCCCTCCATCCATCTATCCCTCCCTCACTCCATCCATCCATCCATCCATTCATCCTCCTTCCATCCGTCCACCCCTCCATCCATCCATCCTTTCATCCATCCCTCATCCCTCATCCCTCATCCCTCCCTCCCTCCATCTGATACTCCACAGGCTAAAGTCAACTCAGGTCGTGCCTGCCCGGTGCTCTGCTCTTGCCGCCGGCAGACCTCGGGAGGAGTGGTTTTCAGTTTGGAAACAGCTGGTGATGGAAACTCGTGTGGATGACAGAGGCCGGGGAGGATGGCGCCCTTTGCTGGGGTGCAGGTGTGGAGAAGCCTGCGCGGAGGGGCCCGGAGGGAGCTCCTCTGGGGTGGTGAGGAGCCTCTGGGTCACCAGCCCCTCGAGAGGCTGCTGTGGCGTCAGGCTCTGCACTGTTACTGATGGAGTGACTGTCAGTGCTGAGCAGGTGGATGCGCCTCTGAGGGCTCCTGTTCCTTAAGCTCCTTGTTAGTATTTCGTGCGCGAGGGCCTCGCTCTCCAGCCACAGATTCCATCGGAGAGCGAGAGGTCGAGAGGTCAGAGCCGAGGGGCCGTGCCTGTCGTCTGGGCCAACCCGGCGCAGTAGAACCAGCAGTAGAACCATTCGTTGTGCCCTCGGGTTCATCTCACAGCCCCTCCTCTTGGCTCTCACCGTCCCGCAGGCTCCGCCAGGGAGGTGTGCGGCGTGGACGCCTGCATTTCCCGCGAGCAGCGTGACGCGTCCTCGGCTCGCAGACTCGTTGAGAGCCAGGCTGTTGGGTAAACACCTGTCCCGAGCGCCTGCCTGGGCAGGGCATCTCCGCGTTCGTAGGTCATGAGTTCCCTTCTCGGATGAAAGTCATGAGTGTGTCCCCAGCCTCGGAGAGAGGAGGCCGCCCTGGTCGAGGGGCGGGTCGGCACCTCCCTGCGCCCAGGCCGCTGACGTGTGAGGCCGGAAGAGTTAGCAGAGGACACGGGCCTTCTCCTGCAGTTAATCATGTCTCTCACCTCCAGGTTCTGTGGGCTTCCCACAAAGCCAGCTTGTCCCGGAAGAGCCGTTGTCAAATGAGAAAATAATTCCTCCCTTCGGCATCGGGCTTATTAAAACCTCCTTGCGGCCCGGCCAGTGCGGCTCAGTGGTTGCGCGTCAACCCGTGAACAAGGAGGTCGCGGTTCGATTCCCAGTCAGCGGGCTCCATCCCCAGTGTGGGGCGTGCAGGAGGCACTCCTCAGGTGCCACCATGAAGGTCCTGCCGCCAGGCCCCTGGTGATGCCCGTGTGGGCGCAGCCTCCGGCCGCTCAGCCCAGCGCCTCCTGTGAGTCCACTGGGTGGCATTTTCAGGAGCATCACAGTCCTGCCCAGGGGGGGGGCAGCCCTACCTGCTGGTTCCTGTATGTGGGGGGAGAGGACGTTCCCAGGGGCCGGCTTGGCTGGGACCGTGCTGCCTGTGGGCCCCTCCGTCCAGGTCTAGGAATTCGCGTGAGCAGGCTTTGTGGTCACTCACACAGCCACACGGAGCGGCCCCGAGGGTGTGGCCCCTGAGGGTGTGGCCCCTGAAGGTGTGGCCCCTGAGGGTGTGGCCCCCGAGGGTGAGGCCCCCCCCGAGGGTGTGCCTCTCCCCCCAGAGTGTGGCCCCTGAAGGTGAGGCCCCTGAAGGTGTGGCCCCCCGAGGGTGAGGCCCCCCGAGGGCTGCCTTTGCTCAGGTCAGGTTGTAAACGGCTTGTGCGGCCACAAAGCTCATTATTTATCTTGTGCTTCTGAAATCAATTAAAAAAAAAAAATCCCTGAGCTGACGTCTTCAAGGGAGGCCTCATGACCTCCGCACCCACCGGAGGGGGCGGGGCGCCCGGGCACAGGGAGCCTCGGAAACGGCTCGACAGCCCTTTCTGTTGAGTCACGGCTTACAGGGTCCGGGGGAGAGAGAATGTGAGTCCAGGGTTCGAGCCTGTGGTGACGGGTTGAGGAGGTGCTGCCACCGTGGGTCTGCGCCTTTCGCGGGGCGGGAGCAGCAGGCGCCCAGCGTGGCTGCACGGCGGCCGTGTGTCTGGCCCCTGAGGGTGTGGCCCCTGAAGGTGTGGCCCCTGAGGGTGTGGCCCCCGAGGGTGAGGCCCCCCCCGAGGGTGTGCCTCTCCCCCCAGAGTGTGGCCCCTGAAGGTGAGGCCCCTGAAGGTGTGGCCCCCCGAGGGTGAGGCCCCCCGAGGGCTGCCTTTGCTCAGGTCAGGTTGTAAACGGCTTGTGCGGCCACAAAGCTCATTATTTATCTTGTGCTCCTCACGGTTGGTGGCTGAGCTGTCGGTGGCGTGAGGGTTGGCGGTGGGGACGCCGTGGCTCTGGGCAGAGAATACGTCCCTCTTTCGGCAAATTTACAAACTCCCCTCCTCCTCCTCGA